ATATATATATATATATATATATATATATATATACACACACACACATATATATACATACATATATATATAAAGGTGTTTTAAACCCTTCCCACACTCTTGCAATATTGTAAACAATCTTTCTAACCTCTAAACACTGTAAACGAGCACAGAATGTCATGATTTCAGTTCCCTGCCTCCTCTGCCACCTATGTGTTCTTGGCCACGCCCACTTATCTGCTCTGCATGGAGATCAGCTGCAGGAGGAAGCCTCTCCCACAGCTGTGGGCTGCACATAGGTGCTAAATAATTCATTTTGCATAAAAAGTCCATGCCGATCGTGTGGCTCATCCATCAATCAGCCAGTTGTGTGTCTTGCCCAATCTTATTTTGAAAAACCGCGATAGAGCCAGTTGGCGAAAAATGAACCGCGAAGTAGCGAGGGACTACTGTCCAGATCTAGTAGAGTGCAGTTTGAACGGATAATGAGGACACGGATCGTGTTGTAAAGAGCTTTGAGTATCTTGATAAGACAGAAAGAAGCTCCATGAGTTCAGTCCATTTATCATTTACTAATTGCTTGGTTGAAGACGTTTTGTACAAAAATCTAGTAAATGCAGCTGTTTCACACCAGACCCTTGCTGCTTTGATTTTCATGCAGCAGCAGCATCTTGATCAGAGGACAAGGCTTTGTGCTCTAATTGACTCACGGTTGTTGTGTAGACAGCCTCGGGGTCGTCCTCCATCACCCTCGACAGGCCGAAATCAGACACTTTACATACGAGATTGCTGTTGATGAGGATGTTCCGCGCAGCCAGGTCTCTGTGGACGTAGCCCATATCTGCAAGATATCTCATTCCTGCTGCTATGCCCCGCAGCATTCCCACCAGCTGGATGACTGTGAACTGACCGTCGTGTTTCTGTGTGGCGAGACACACGGGCAGGTTAGCCATAGCCATCTTCACTGACCACGGGGCCACGTGCAGGTTAGAGCACTGCAGCAGCTCCAACACCATCTATCATAGACCTGATGGGTGCAGAGCCCACTGCAGAGAGAAGCTGGTAACCACACTGTGCCAGATTCATAGGTGATACTCACCCTGAGGAAAGCATCTAATGAGCCGTTCTCCATGTACTCGATGACAATCATGACCGGTTTCCCTGAAGGGAAAAAACACAGAACAGCAAAGAAACAGGAGTTGATTAATTAATACCTAAATTTCACAATACAACGGCTTTGCCTAATCTGATTCCAAGTTATTTTTAGCTGCTTGTTTCATTTGCTTTTAATTAAAATTTACCATCTGGTCCATTTATTAACAAGTCTGCACGGGAAGAGAGAGAGTGCACGTTAAAGCCCACACGCTATAGGGACAATAATAGCAACGGCAAACAAAGTGTGTATGTGTGTGTCTGTTAGCAAAATTTCTTATGAACCGGTAAGATCATCAATAAATGTTCTGAGAGTTTAGTGAAGGTGTCAGTGAATGATGACTGGATGAACATTTAGTACCTCTCGTCACAACTCCCTCCAGATGGACGATGTTGGGGTGGTCAAATTGTCCCATGATGCTGGCCTCGCACAGGAAGTCCCGCCTCTGCTTCTCTGTGTATCCCACTTTTAGTGTCTTGATGGCAACCGACACGTCCCGCTTTCCAGGCAGCTTCAGCCGGCCGCTGCACACCTCCCCAAACTCTCCTGCGAGGGTTGAAACTGCTCATGAGTGAAGGGGCCAGCGGATAAAAAAATCACACGCTTCACAATGACAAATTTATTAGTGTATTTCGAGACAAAGCACCTGTGCTGTGCTGGAATACAAATTGGAGTACGACACCTTGTTATCCTCAGGGGAGTGTAACTGAAACCTATTATAAGACGCGCTGCACATGCACAGATACTGTCATTGACCGCCTCACTAAAACCCATGTGGCAGCAATTTTCAGCTGCAGGTATCTCTGCAGAGCGCAGACCACACATTAATTGCAATGAACCCCCCACCCCCCGTACCCCCCCTTGTGATAGCTCTATCAATATAAGAAGCATGAAGCTGTGTCCCCATTCAAGGTGTAAATATTTGGCTGTCAGTATGATGTATGAGAGCTCTGAGGCAGTAAACAGGAAGAGCTGAGGATGGGCTCACCTGCTCCAATAACTTTCTCGATTTTAATGCATGAGGCGTCCAGCTCCTTGGCAAACTGATGGACAGCCCTGTTGGGGTCCTCGTACGTTTCTGGGTGGATGTAGGTTTTGGTGCCCGGGAGTTTAACTGTAGGAAGACAAGACAATTAGTGCTCTGATGGGTATGCTGCCCGAGGTCTGGCAGGTTCTGGGGCTGGAGGTTCAGAGAGAACAGCTGAACAGTCGGGTGTCAGAAAGGCTTTTCACTCCTCACAGCTCAGGACAAAGAACCTGTGCAAGGTAGTTCTCATGAGACTACCAGTTTGCTCTCCGCTGAAAGAGAACCAGTTTAACCAGCCCTGCGGTTCTGACTCTGCTTTTAAACCCAACAAAATAACAGCAACAAGGACTTCAAAGGTTCTCACAGATGAACCTTAGAGTGCCTTGGAAATGTATTCACACCTCTGGGTATTTTTGTCTATTTTCCGTCCATCCATCCATCTTCCTCTTTCTGAGGTCAGGTCTCGGGGGCAGCAGCTTGAGCAGGAAGGTCCAGACATCACCTTCCACAGCCACCTCCTCCAGCTCTTCTGGGAGGACTCCAAGGCGTTCCCAGGCCAACTGAGAGATGTAGTCTCCCCAGCATATATGGGTCTTCCCTGGGATCTCCAGACCCCAGGGAAGACCCAGGACATGCTCAACGAACCTCCCTAGGGAGGTGCCCAGGGAGCATCTTTACCAGATGTCTGAACCACCTCCACTGGCTCCACTTGATGTGGAGGAGCAGTGGTTCTACTCTGAGTCTCTCCTGATAACTGAACTTCTCACCCTGTCTCTAAGGGAGAGTCCAGCTACCCTGCAGAGGAAACTCACTTCAACCTCTTGTATCCACGATCTCATTCTTTCAGTCACTACTCAGAGTCCATGACCAGAGGTGAGGGCAGGAACGTAGACTGACCGGTGTCAGCCGTCCGACCACGGCACAACTTCCGGTTCTTTTGTTCCCAGGTGAAGAGGAAACTCACACGAACTCAACATCTTCAAGAAGTAAATTTTATTCACAATTTAATGTTGATAATTCAGAAAAAGTTACAAGCTCAGCGCTGAGGCGTCCGTCTGACCCGTCTTAACCCGGAAGCGGAGGCCCCGTGTAACAGAACGCCCCAGCTTATGTTGGCCCTTGGCTCCGCCTCCACATCCAGGGTGGGTACAGCCTATCAGAGTGTATCAGTGGGGTGACTATGAATGGCGTCATTGGTCTTATCTGTTTCTAATGGTTGATAATAGGGTGATGTGCAAATCTAAGTGTTGGAAGCAAGCTAAAACAAAAATGACTCCTTATCGGGTGTTGACACTGGGATCGCTCGTTGTGAGCAGCTGAGACTGTATGATCTGTTACAAACCAGGTTATGAGTCAGAGCAGGCCAGACCGGGCTTCCAGCAAGATTAAACTTGTAACACTGAAAAACAGAGAGCTTTGTCTTACAGCTCAGCTCCTTCTTCACCACAACAGACCGGCACAAAGTCTGCAATACTGCAGATGCTGCACCAATCCGTCTGTCAATCTCACGCGTCATTCTTCCCTCACTCATGAATAAAACCCAGAGACGCTTGAACTCCTCCACTTGAGGCAGAACCTCACCCTGGACCTGAAGCGAGCAATCCACCCTTTTCCAGCTGAGGAACATGGCCTCAGATTTAGTTGCCTTTAAGTTTAATCAACAAGACCTTGTAGGTTTGCTTGTTGCCCATTTTATTCAGAGGATAACCCAGTCAGCAGCGGTCTGTCTCATCTCTCTCTTCAACGTAACGCTGTTTGGAAACAAACATTTGCAACAAGCTACAAAAGTTAGCATGCTAGCAGGTAGCAAAGAAAGCTAATTATTTAACTAACATCAGTTTGTTAGAACCTCTTTGTCATTTTATAGAGAACAGAAGAATTAGATTTAGAAATAAAGTGGTGCAGTTTTAGTTTGGCTCTGCTGCTCGTGTGTCTGTGTGAAGCTGACAACACAGCCGGCCGCCCACAGTACACTCTTAAAATGGAAACTGTAGCACGTATTTATGTAGAGCATCATTAGACAAGCTGCTCAGGGTGAAGTGTGTCCATACTGTCCTCTACAAAACAAATCACTGCTTGAAAACAGATCTGTTACGCTGGTTTAAAACAACTCAACCATCTCGTCTCTTGTGATTAAATAATAATTTTTAAAAAGTCTTGGACTTGAACATTATTTATGAAAATTGCACGTATAGAAAAGCTGATTATAAATCGGTTTAAATTCTGACTGAGTCCAGGATTCAGACAGAGCATGTTCATGTCAGAGTAAGTAAATAAAATGGACCCTGACTTTACGTTGTTGTTGTAATATCAGTGAAAAGGGGTCGTTTTGCTGAAGGTTATCGTCACGTCACAGTCTGACAGCGTGCCTGAAAACAAGCCAAGCAAACGGAGAGACACACTTCTTCTCTGGATGCTGGAGAGTACCCGGACCAATCTAGTGGCACAAACACAACAAATCCTCTGCTCTCCGGGGAGTGGGGGGAGGGGGGTGGCTGGCAGCAGATTTCCCACCACTTGCTTCCATAATTGCTCCGTCCATCCAAGATGACAGCGGATCTGATAGAAGATGTCTCCTCACTTCTACATGGCAGACAAATTGGGTGTGTGTTGGATTTGGGATCTGTGTGACTCCTGTCGGCCTGACAGTGTCTCATCATTCCAAGACTCTCATACTCCACAGACACTGCGTGTTCGCAGCAGCTCCTGTTGGAGCAGAAGGGACTTGGGAGTTACTGAAGTGCATCTGTCAGATACTTAGCAGCAGTCAACCTGGGCTCTCTGCCTCTGCCCCGGCCGTATGCTCGGCACCACCCCTGACCCTGTGCTTCCAAAGCAGCAGTTAGCCTACAGCGCCAATCATTACAGCGCCACTTGGGACATCTGTCTGCATTTGGACCTCCAGGGGCATCATTAGGGGTGGCACATCAGTTAATGCCCTAAGACAGCCAAGTGTTTGCAGACCAGAAACCATGTCAGTCACTAAAAACTACCCAACTACTGTTACATACTGCCTTCACCCTCCTCCTCTGGCAGCTGTCAGACCCGTGTATTTGTAGTTTCCTGACTTCTTCATCTCCACAGACAGTGGAGCCAATCAGCAGCGGAACGTGGGCCTCAAATCAAAGGAACTCTGTCCAACTGGCAGGTGCTCATAAGGTTTATCATCATATACAGTCTCTCTCTGTGTAAAAGTGTGTGTCTGTGCTGATAAAGTACTCACACTGGAAGTAGAGCTCCTCATCTCCCTCCTGATCAGCTTTGCTGTAGCCGCAGTGTCTGAGCGGGGGACAGGAGAACAATCAACAGATTGCGTCACAAACTCCAGCCCTAAATTGCAAGAATTTTAATGTGGCAGCAACATGTGAGAAACAAATGTCTGTGGAGGCAGGAAGAGAAAGCAAACAGCTCAGAGTGGAGAGAGTCACAGAGGAAGCTGATGACGATGCTGCACAGCTGTTCAACATCTGGCAGCAGCTTCAACCTGAGGAGGTGAGCGGAGCACAGAGACGAGGAAGCGGCTCTGCAGCATTATTGTGTACGGGCAGGGACGTGTGCCGTCACAAACTGAATTTGAATTGCTCAGACTGAATCACATCATTTGAAATTAAATCCTTTGGTTTGAAAAAGAATCTCACCAAGTTGAATCTGAATTTAATGGTTTGAAAATGAATTCATTTGTTCTGAAACTCAATTTCATTGTGTTGAAAATTCAGTTTGACTACTTTCACTTTCAGTTCTATAATTCAATTTCAATTCCAAAACTCAGTATTTTGTGTCACACGTCTGCGTCCTTGAGGACCCAGACTCCAGGACTTCAAGTACTTGGGGTCCACTGTCCAGGAAAATGGGGAGTGTGGTAAAGAAGTGAAAAAGAAAGTCCAGGCAGGATGGAGTGATGGAGAAAAGTTTCAGGAGTGATTTGTGACAAAATGGTGTCAGCAAAGGTCAAAGGAAACATTTACAAGACAGTGGTGAGACCAGCTGTGTTGTATGGTCTGGAGACAGAGACATGGACAAAAAGACAGGACACAGAACTGGAAGTGACAGAAATGAAGATGTTGAGGTTATCCTTAGGAGTGACAAGGATGGAGAAGATTAGGAATGAGATCAGATAGAACTTTATTGATCCCGCAGGAAATTGTTGTGCCAGAGTTTCAGTACAAAGGAACATAAACAAGGAATCATACAGGATATAAAAAAACCAGAGAATATAAAAATATCAGCAATTAAGTTCCAAACAGGTCAGGAGTCACAGTCAGAGATTATTTATTGTCATTCGCACCCCACATGGTACATGTGGTGGAACAAAATTATTTACACAGGGTCCCAGTTACATCCAACAATAAAATGTATAAGAAAAACAACGATAAGATATGAACTAAGAAAAGACAACTAAAATACACTAAGCACTAACAGCATAAAAACATTAGGTCAAACAGCAGCACGAACATGAACAAGAGACTGTGTGAGCAGATGAGCACGCATGAACACCTCAACATGAAACAGATCAGCAGCAACATGAAACAGATCAGCAGCAACATGAAACAGATCAGCAGCAACATGAAACAGATCAGCAGCAGCATGATGTGATTTTTCACAGTGATTATTCTGGTTAGAGATTCATGAGTCTAACAGCCTCATGGTAGAAGCTGTTCCTCAGTCTAGTGGTTCTACACTTAATGCTCCTTAACCTCCTTCCTGAGGGGAGTGGGGCAACAAGTGTGTGTGCTGGGTGAGTGTGGTCCTTCATGATGCAGATGGTCCTTTTCCTGCATCTGGAGGTGTAGATGTCTGTGATGGTGGGGAGGCTGACAGGCAGAGGAGCAGACATGTGTGAAATGTTTTAATGTGAAAAACATCCATCCATCCATCCATCCATTATCTTTACCCGTTTATTCCATTTTGGGTCACGGGGGTCGCTGGTGCCCATGTCCAGCAATCACTGTGCGAGGGGCGGGGTACATCCTGGACGGGTCGCAAGTCCATCACAGGGCCACATAGAGACAAACGAGACAAACAACCATTCACTCTCTCATTTACACCTAGAGACAATTTAGAGTTACCAATCAGCCTAACATGCATGTTTTTGGTCTGTGGGAGGAAACCGGAGTACCCGGAGAAAATCCACGCATGCACGGAGAGAACATGCAAACTCCACCCAGAAAGGCCCCTGGACCGGGGTTTGAACCAAGGACCTGCTCGCTGACAGGCAGCAGCTCTACCAGTTGCGTGAAAAACATTAAAGTGTTTATTGTGGTGCAGAATTAATTTTATTGTTCTAAAGGGGGAGGAGTTGAAAAGTTTTGAAGGACTTCCTGTGTCGTTCTGTGGAGCACCTCGGTGGTCTCAGTCTACGACTGAAGGTGCTGCGGTAAAAGTCCAGTGTGTCATGCAGGAGGTGTGACGTGTTGTTCAGGATCTGGAGCAGTTTCCTCAGCATCTTCTGCTCAGACACCTCTGTCAGAGCCTGCAGGTCCACTCCCAGAACTGAGCCAGCTCTCTTGATGAGTTTATTGAGTCTGTTGGCATCAACTTTCTTCACCCTGCTGCACCAGCACACCACAGTGTAGAAGAAGACGCTGGAGTCCATCGAGTGGTAAAACATCTGTAGCATGGTCCTGCAGACATTAAAGGACCCGAGTCTCCTCAGAAGAAAAAGGCGACTCTGTCCTTTCTTGTATAGGGTGTTGGTGTTAGCTGTCCAGTCCAGTTTATTGTCTAGGTGGACCCCCAGGTACTTGTAGCAGTCCACAGTGAGATCATCAGAGGTACAGCACAGGCTGAACAGCTGGGAGATAAAGTTAGAGGGGCCACATTGACATGGTCTGGGCATGTCCAGAGGAGGGACAGTGGTTTGGACATGTCCAGAGGAGGGACAGTGGTTTGGACATGTCCAGAAGAGGGACAGTGAGTATATTGGTAGAAGGCAGCTGCCAGGAAAAAGACAAAGAGGAGACATGTGGATGCAGGTAGAGAGGACATGGAGGTAGATGGAGTGGGGACAGAGGACACAGAGGACAGAATGAAACAGAGGAGGATGACTCGCTGTGGAGACCCTGAAGAAAGAAAAGCCGAAGGAAAAAGAAGACATTCGGGTCCTTGAGAAAGCCACGAAGTAATCAAATGCAGATTGACAGATTTACATTTTGGCGTCTTTTGAGCTGAATTAGTGGGGCGTGCACATGAACTTGGCATGAACACGTGCACGCACCAAGCTCCAGCTCAAAATATGCTGTAAAGGAAGTTCTTTTTTGGTGCTTTATGGCATCTGTTGCATCACCGACTCCTTGAGACTGAACCCCACGCCTACATTTATGTAAAGGAAGTAAATCAGTCAATCAGGGATTTGAACCGGTGACCTTTTCACTGAGAGGCGGCAGCTCTACCAACTGCTCCACCATGCCGCCCCATAAAATTATA